TAAAAAAAAAGTTAATATTAAAAATGGTGAAAAGGAAAATAAATGAAAGATAGGAATAGCGTGCTGCTGTAAGAAGAACAACAAGGATCAGAAGTTCTGAAGCCGGGCGCGTGATGACTCAGAAAGGAACGTCAGAAGTTTTGGATTGATACACTCTGAGGTCCTGCAAGACACGTTAGAGGGAAAACACAGAAGTTCTGGGTGGTATTCAGACAGTAGGCCACAAGTCAGAAGTTCTGTATTACACTAAAACAGTGAGTAAACATCAGCAGTTCAATGCGTTATCAGCATGTAAAAATCAGAAATTCTGAGTGTTAAAACAGTGAGTGAATAATCAGCAGTTCAGCATGTTATCAACATATGAAAATCAGAAGTTCTAAGTGTTAAAACAGTGAGTGAACATCAGAAGTTCAGTGTGTATTAACAGTGAGGAGAACTCAGAAGTTCTGTGTTGTGCTAAAGCTGTGAGTGAACATCAGAAGTTCAGTGTGCATTAACAGTGAGGAGAACTCAGAAGTTCTGTGTTGTGCTAAAGCTGTGAGTGAACATCAGAAGTTCTATGCCATATTTCAACTCTTAATCAGCACATCAGCAATTTATCCAGTTCTTAATAAACAGCAAATCAGAAGGATAATAGCACAACAGTTTATAGAAGTTCTAATCCTAAATCTGAGTCTAGCCCTAATCAAGAAGTTCTGATCCATAGTTTTTCTACTTAAGCAATGATATGTACAACATTAATACTATGATATTTACATGTTAATGATGTTCAGAATTAAAAACAAGCAAAGTCAAAAAGACTTACCTTGAACCTGGAGCGTGGGCTTGGAGCTTTGAGCTGCTACCTTTGGATGTTCTGGAATCAGCAAGAGTAACGGAAGAGTGGTTGTGTTCTTTGATTTAAAGGGAAGAACAAAGGTTTTATTTTCTGTTTGGGAAATCTGGATTTTTATGAAGGTTTCATTACTTCCTTTTCTCTCTTTTTTATGATCCTGTCCCTTCAAAAGCCAACCTCTCCCTCAAAGCCCAGCCCCTTGAACGTGTGATGGAGCAACTTATTTATAGATGGATTTGTTGTGATTTTGGGGGGAAAGACAAATGGGATTTGAACCTTTTTGGCACCCTGTTCCCTTGCTTTTTCATCACTGTCTTTGTATGCTAGTTTGGTGCAATTATGAGATGCAGGCGTAGGATGAATTAGTTGTTGGTTATAGGTCTGCAGCAGGTTGTATAAACAAGGTTTTGGGATTTGGTCAAGTTCTGACCAAAGCGTTGAATATAACCTTCATATGCTAAAGCGATGCCTTGTTCTTGAAGCAAGCATGGTGGTTGTCAGCAGGAATTAAGGAAAAGCAAAAAGCAAAGCATAGGCCTAGTACCAAAGTTTGCTATCCCAAGACAGTAGAGGTATACGTGGTGAAAATCCTTTGGATAAAGACTCAGAAAGTGGTTGAGAGCATTAAATGATGATGAGACTTATCACAACCAGAAATCCTGCAACGTGATATTCTACACCAAGGCTTAGTTCTGGATCAGAAGTTCTGAGCTTGCGTAGCATCCAATCTTCTGATCCTTTTATCTTCTGGTGCCAGCATGTTCTGAAGGAGTTTACAGGCTCTCCAGGAAGTTTGTAACACGCTTTGTAAACCTTCTTTGAACTACTCTTGCAAACTCTAGTGAGCCTTTGTGAAAACTGGTCCAGAAGTTCTGACCAAACTCTATTTTGAGAATATCCAGAATTTGTTGAGTGTTATGGTGATAATCTTGTTCAGAAGTTCTGAAATTGTCATAATACTTAAACACTTAGAAAAAATTTCTAAGTATTTAGAACTTGACTTTTCCAAAGTAAAATTTGACTTTTGGATTCCTTGATGAAACAAACTTCATACTCCAACATGTCTTAATGAAATATGATTTTTGAAATTTAATTTTGATCCAAAAGTCAAAGTTTGACTTTTCAGTGTGCAAATGACCATTTTTCCCTTGTGGGTGATTTTCTTGAAAAGTTGTAATTCAAGACTTGGAATTGGATGGAAGCAAACTTGAGGATCCAGGGTGATTCCTTGAGAAATGAGATGGAAAATTTTGGGGTACAACAACTGCCCCTATTCAATCTTCTTACACCTGAAGAGTTAGATTGGTAATTATACCATTCGTGACTTGCAGGTGGAAGATGATTGAACACTAGAGTGCCCAGAAAATTTGCACTCAAAGATGTGTTAGTTGATTATGTAGGGAATAGGCTTAAAGATGCCATTTGGAGAGGTAACGGATAGTTGTTGGAGATGGGCTTAAAGATGCCATCCAGAGGTGATTGTTGAATTGTTTTTGAGAGGGAAACTGAACGAGTATCAGAATAATATCCATAAATGAATTGTATCTGACTTGTATCTGTGAAATGTACTAAATGAGCGTCAGAATGACATCCGAATCTGGATCGTATCTGGACTGTATTTGAATGAGTGACATAATGACATTTGAATCTGGATCGTATCTGGACCGTATTTGAATGAGTGACAGAATGACATCCGGATCTGGATCGTATTTGGACTGTATTTGAATGATTAATAGAATGACATCCGAATCTGGATCGTATTTGGACTGTATTTGAATGAGTGACAGAATGACATCTGGATCTGGATCGTATCTGGACTGTATTTGAATGATTGACAAAATGACATCCGAATCTGGATCGTATCTGGACTGTATTTGAATGAGTGACATAATGACATCCGAATCTAGATCGTATCTGAACTGTATTTGAATGAGTGACAGAATGACATCCGAATCTGGATCGTATCTGGACTGTATTTGAATGAGTGACAGAATGACATATGAATCTGGATCGTATCTAGACTGTATTTGAATGAGTGACAGAATGACATCCGAATCTGGATCGTATCTGGACTGTATTTGAATGAGTGACAGAGTGACATTCGAATCTGGATCGTATCTGGACTGTATTTGAATGAGTGACAGAATGACAACCGAATCTGGATCGTATCTGAATTGTATTTGAATGAGTGACAGAATGACATCCGAATTTAGATCGTATCTGGACTGTATTTGAATGAGTGACAGAATGACATCTGAATCTGGATCGTATCTGGACTATATTTGAATGAGTGACAAAATGACATCTGAATCTGGATCATATCTGGACTGTATTTAAATGAGTGACAAATGACATCTGAATCTGGATCGTATCTGAACTGTATTTGAATTAGTGACAGAATGACATTTGAATCTGGATCATATCTGGACTGTATTTGAATGAGTGACAGAATGACATCCGAATCTGGATCGTATCTAGACTATATTTGAATGAGTGACAGAATGACATCCGAATCTGGATCGTATCTGGACTGTATTTGAATGAGTGACAGAATGACATCCAAATATGGATCGTATCTGGACTGTATTTGAATGAGTGATAGAATGACATCCAAATCTGGATCGTATCTGGACTGTATTTGAATGAGTGATAGAATGACATCAGAATCTGGATCGTATCTCGACTGTATTTGAATGAGTGACAGAATGACATCCGAATCTGGATCGTATCTGGACTATATTTGAATGAGTGACATAATGACATCTGAATCTGGATCGTATCTGGACTATATTTGAATGAGTGACAGAATGACATCTGAATTTGGATCGTATCTGGACTGTATTTGAATGAGTGACAGAATGACATCTGAATTTGGATCGTATCTAGACTGTATTTGAATGAGTGACGGAATGACATCCAAATCTGGATCGTATCTGGACTGTATTTGAATGACTGACATAATGACATCTGAATCTGGATCGTATCTGGACTGTATTTGAATGAGTGACAGAATGACATCCGAATCTGGATCGTATTTGGACTGTATTTGAATGAGTGACAGAATGACATCCAAATCTGGATCGTATTTGAACTGTATTTGAATGAGTCTAGAGTAAGTATCAAAATGTCAGCCATATCTGGATCGCATCTGAACTATTTCTAGAAGAGAATCTGGAGTATGTATCAGAATGTCAGCCATATCTGGATCGCATCTGAACTGTTTCTAGAAGGGAATCTTTGGTTGCCTCAGAAAGATGATGAAGGAATCTTGGATGATTACTACCTCAGCAGGATGATGAAGGAATCTTGGACGATTTCTACTGCAAACAGATGATGAACTTTATCTATTGATTGATCTTTCCTGAAAAGGTAAAGAGTTAGTTGTATGCAATGTTATGATGTATGCATTGCGTAACGATGTTCTCAAAATAAATGAGATTTGTGTTATATGTATTTTATATGCATATGCTATGAATGTTATTGAGATGTAAGTGTGTCTTCAAACTTTGCTCAGAATGTTTCCACCGGGGATTCCTGTTTTTTGTTTGAGGAGAACTCCGCTGGGAGACGTTCACTACGCCAAAAATAAGTTTTAGCAGCACATAAAAGAAAGCGCTTTTGGAAAAAAGCGCTGTTGTAGGTTTTAAAAAAAAATCGCTTAAAAAAGCGCTTTCAAAGGGTACCTTAAGAAAGCGCTTTTCAAAAGCGCTTCTAAAGGTCACCCTTAGAAATCGCTTTTTGGGAAGTGCTGCTAAAGCTGGCCTTTCAGAGGGTACCTTAAGAAAGCGATTTTCAAAAGTGCTGCTAAAGGTCAGCCTTAGAAAGCGCTTTTCCAAAGCGCTGCTAAAGCTGGCCTTTAGAAAGCACTTTTAAAACCGTTGCTATAGGATATGCTACGAAAGCGCTTTTTGATGTAAAAGCATTGTTATAGATGACCTTTAGAAAGCGCTTTTTTAGTTTTGACATGGTAGGGTGAATTTGAAAAGAGCGCAGGCAGGAGGAGAGAGAACAAAACCCTTTTGAAAGGTTTAGAAGATAACAAAAGTGAATAGTCCGTCTTCTTCTTAGAGGCAGCGGAAGAATAAAACGACGTTAGAATTGGCGTTGCAGTAAAATAGAAGTAACCATAAATGCTTGGGCTTAAAAGAAGGAGAAAAAAGCAATAATGCAGAAACTGCTACAACGTCCAACGTGTTCACTCCCAATCCCTATTCTATCTTCTTCTTCTTCTCATAACCCTCTCTTTCTTCATCTTCCAACAACAACAATGTCTACAACAACAACAACAACACCAAACAGCAATAACACTCTCCTTCTCAAACATTCCTCTTCTCGTTACTCCAACCCCTCCTATCTCCGCACATCTTTCTCTCCAACTCTAACCCTAACACCCACCAAAACCCTTCTTAACCGCTCTCTTTATTCAAATTCCTCTTTACATCATTCATCCTCCCACCCTACAACCGGGGTACATGATTCTTCTTCTTCTTCTTCCTCTTCCTCTACCACCGCCTTCAAACTAAATAGGAGGCAAAAGGTTTCTTCTTCTCCATCCTCTAATCCTGATTTGTTGGCTATTCCCGGTGTGGGTCCCAGAAATTTCAGAAAACTCCTCAACAAAGGTATCCAAGGTGTCGCCCAACTCAAACAACTCTATAAAGATAAGGTTTCTATCTTCTGTTTTAGGGGTTTTCAATATTTACCTCTCTTCACTTTATACCATGTTTATGTTTCTTTACTCTAATTATCATTAGCTTTTGACCATTTTCTTCTTCTCTGCAGTTCTTTGGGAAATCTAGTGACCACATGGTGGAGTATCTATAGAGCTCTGTTGGAATTATCCACAAGAACCATGCTGAAAGTATATTTCATCTTGCCAGCTATACCTATCGTCGCCGACTTATCGACTAGTTGGCAAGGGAAAATTCCATAACACTTTGGGAGATTTACTTCACCATAGACCGCTTCCGGATGGACACATGAAAGTATCAGTTAATATTACTTTAGATATGGATGCGTTGCTGCCGGTACCTGACATTGTTGCTGAGACCACATTATTGTGAGATGCAATAGGATCTTTTGTTACATGGCCATCAGACCTTATTTTCATAGATGATCAGGTATGTTGAAAACCATTATGAATCTTTAAGTCTTCAACTGTCAGTTCTGACCTTAATTATTTCCATCGTAATTATAGACTCCTACAAAACCCGCATCTAAGGGTAAAGGGATTTTGCAGCACGACGAGTCTGATGTATCACAAAAAGAGGTACGATTAAAGTGTTAATTATATGATCCGAATAAAAAACTGCATAATTTTATAATTTAACTGAGTCTATATTATTTTTAGGTACCTTTTCAAGGGTCACAACAAGTGAGCCAGAAAATCGTTGGCGTACCACCCAAGAAAAGGGATCATACTAAATTTTTCCCTCGATACTGGCAGTGTCTTGAAACAATAGTGGGAACAACAGATTTGATGGATGGTGGTATTCGTCAAATGGATATGGATCAAGGTATATTTGGTTTTCCTTGCACCGAAATAATTGGACATGAGGACGTGGAAGAGATTTTCCGTCATAAAGAATTAGGCGTCAGTATTATGCACGCATACATCCGGTAACCCCATCTTTATATTATGTAATTAGCTATTTTTTTTAAAACATTTCAATGAATATAGTCTAATATTAATTATGTTTTTATTTAAGGTTGTTATATGACAAATTGATGTGCGGGAATCAATTGTCAAAAAGATTCCATTTCGTGTCTTCCTCCCGTGTCAGCGGAGCGACAATTGGTAGGGAACTGGATTCAGTAAGAGAGCACTTAGTCGAAAGATTCATGGCAACTGGCAGTACAGAAAGCTTATATCTTTGGGCGTATAATACTATTCCTACAGGGTTAGATTTTCATTCTAAGTTCATTTTAATATTTGTAATTTTTGCGTAGAAAATTTTCTTCTAAACTGTTGTTTTAATTTATAGACGTCACTGGTTGTTGGTTGCTATCGATCCTATAAAAGAAGTGGTCTATTATCTGAATTCGGTTGACGGTGATTGGACAAATTATCCGGATATAAAGTTAATGACTGATACGTAAGTGAGATTATTCTAAATATTTTTGTGTACTTATATATTTAATTATTTCTGTGACATTGTTCTAAATATATATATTTTTATTTTGTTAGAGCGATACAAGTATTCCGGTGTCAAAGAGAAGCTCGGGTACGACGGTCTAAATCAAACAACATTAATTGGATCAAAGTGCAGGTATATTAATTTCCAATATTTTGCTTATAATATTTATGCTATTTGATAAAACAATACAACTATATATTCTTATTTATTTTTCTATGTAGTGTCCTCAACAGCAAATCGGTATAGATTGCGGATACTTCGTTATGCAGTTTATCAAAGAAATCCTTCAACTGAATCAAATAGAGATTCCAGTCACGGTATGGATTTATAACTTAGGATTTGTTTTATTATTTCTCGGATATTTCATATAATTTTTTACTTTTAACTAAATCATGCATATTATGTTTTGTTATGTAGTACTTCGATGAATACAAATGTGCATATTACACGAAACTTCAGTTGGAAGAAATCAAAGAGGAATTGTGTCAATATTTTATTGAGCAGAGAATCATATAAGGTATGAATACATTATTATGTGAAAATTGTTATGAATACGTTACATGTGTACATGGAATACCATATTGATCGTGTTATTATGTTCAAACCTCGCATGACCAGGACCTTAATACATAATTGACCGTGTTTCTTTCATACATTAGGACTGGTTTAGTTGTTGTTAAGGTTGATTTTATAAGACTGATTTTGAGTTACAATGCTGATAACAATGGTTTTTATATATTTTGAGGTACAAAAATGGTGTATATATATTTTGGATTACAATGGTATACAATGCATTACCGCGGTTTATGAATTACAGGTTATGGCAACTGGTTTATATAAATAATATGCTGCAAACAATGCAGGTATATGAATTATATAAATTATACCTCTAAAAAAAACACCCTATGAAAGCGCTTTTTCAAGAAAAACGCTGCCTTAGGTAACCTATGAAAGCGCTTTTTCACAAAAAGCGCTGTCTAAGGTAAACATATGACAACGCTTTTCCAGGAAAAAGCGCTGCTAAAAGACCACCTATGAAAGCGTTTTTCCAGAAAAAAGCGTTGCTAAAAGCCTACCTAAGACAGCGCTTTTCCAGAAAAAAAGCGCTGCTAAAAGAAAACTTATGAGAGCGCTTTTCCAGAAAAAATCGCTGCCTTAGGTAGACCTACGAAAGCGCTTTTCATTAAACAAAAAGCGCTGCTAAAACCTATAGCAGCGCCACCTATGAAAGCGCTTTTAAGCGCTTTTAAAGGCAAAAAAAAGCGCTTTCGTAAGTCTTTTTCAGCGTAGTGGTTGAAAGCTCTGTATAGAGTGTTGATTCCTGCTTGGGGAAAAAGAGTTCAGGAGTCTTAGTCGTCCGTTGCTCTACTGGGCAGTCGAAGTTAAACTAATGTCTGGTCAGGTCTAGGTTTCACAGTAACTTGCTGGGGATTGTAGAGTAGTCTACTGGGGAAGAGGAGTTGTGGTCCTTTAATTTGTAGTAGTCGGAGAGGCAAACTCAAGTTGGGGAATCCTACCGTTTGTTGGGGAAATAAACCCTGTCGTCGGTCTGTTGGAGAGGTGACGACTTCGTTGGGGAAAGTCCTCGAGGACTCTTGAGGTTGTCTCAGCTGGGGAAAGGTTTTTAGAGATTAAACTCTTGCTGGGGAATCATCCTATGAGAAGAATTTTTTCATTGCCCCTAGCAGCAAATGTTTGTGGTATTGCCAGAAAATGTTTGATTGTATGTAACCCTTTGCTGAGATTGACGTTCAATGCCCCAAGTGACGGAGATGGAGACTTGCCCCTGGTTACTTTGCAATTCTTGAGAGATTTCTTGGAATCTTGACTGGACTGCCCCAGGTGTGATGGATAGTGACATTTCATGTCCCCTTGTTGATAGGAGATTTGTCAATGGGAGTGTCATCCTACTTGAAGTGATTTTGTTCACTGAGAGAGCTTTCGTTCACTGGATATTTATTGTGTGAATTTCTCCGCTGTCAAACAAATAGCCCTATGCAAACAGTGATATTCAAGTAATGCAAAGTTTATGTTTGTCTTGAAATTTTGAAAATGCGTTTTAGCGAGTAAAGAAATTTTGTAAGAAAAATTCAAACTCAGGATTTAGAGCAAAGCCTTACAGGAGTCAGGATACCTTTTGTAACAGTATGATTTCGAACTAACCCATGCTTCAATTAGGACTTTTGAAGGGTTGTAACGTGGCTTGGTTCACGGTTTAAGAAACAAAAGATAAAGGCTCAAATGTATTTGTACCCACCCGTTCTTCGTGATGTTCTTCAGTCCTAAGCTCAGTTAATTGTGTGTTTGACCTCCAATCGAGTCTAGAATGACGTTTTGGTGATGGTTCAAACAAATTAAGTTTGTCGAAAGACAGTCATTTTTTTGCAACATTTTCGTGTTGTTGAGGATTTGTAGTGACCTCTTTCTTATTTGATTTGTTATCCCTAATTTTTGCCTGACTGTTCTTGTTTTGCGATTACAATCAGCGGGATGCCCCAGTTTTCTTTAAGTCTTCTTCGTAGGTTTTGACTTAGTGGGATTTTCTTTTTTGAGAGATAATGACTGCCTATTTGGTAGGGAACCATCACTGTCTTTTGATTCCAGAGGAATGTTTTTTTTCTTTTTTTAATGTCATTTGTTGTAATTACAAGATGAGAGTTTGCGATTTGAACGCGCATTTGAACTAACTGAGAGACTACCCTGCCCCAGGTTTTGATTAAAGGTTTCAATTTGTGTTAAAACAGAAAACTTCTACTTCTTTGGCTCGAAGGGGTTGACTAGGGATTATCTTTCTTATAACTCCAGTGTTTAGGATTTGAAGGAATGCATGTACATCGTCAACAAGGTCTGTTCAAAAGCATACTGTATGAGATTATGGCATTGTTTTCGTCATCCTCCCTCTAAAGGCTTGTATCTTTTAGCAAGAGTTGAATGTCATAAAGAGAGTAAAAGGCATAGTTTAAATATAGAGAAAACGAACGGATGAATTCAAGACAAAAATATGCAATGCATTAATGAAACAAAGTTTGACATTAATAGATAATTGTTTGAATAACAAAAGAGATTACAACTTGAAAATTCAAATGAACAAAAGCTTTCAATGATTCTTCATAGGAGCAGTGATTATGTTTGGAGTCTCCGGAGGGTCAAATTCGATCTCCTTGGCATCAATCATGTCTTGGAACTTGTTCTTCAGAGCCCAACTGTTGTTTGTGTCATGTCCCGAACTATCAGAGTGGTATGCACACCTTTCATTGGGATGATAGGTAGGAGCGGAAGTATTTGGGTTCCGGAGAGGAGCCTTTAACGTAATCAGCTCTGCCTTCAACATGTGTTGTAGCGCTTGAGCCAGTGACATGTTGATCTTAGTGAATTGTCTTTTAGGTGCGACCTCCTTACGCTGATGCCCCTGTCTTTGTTGAGCAGGCGTAGTATTAAGGATCAAGATTTCTCCTACGTGTTGGTCATGACGACTCTTTTGACCATACAAAGCATTGGACTCTTTCTTCCCATTGTATGGCTTTTTCTGAGCATCAGAAGGTGTAGCTCCTTAGATCTTTCCACTTTTGATGCCAACTTCGACCCTTTTGTCGGTCAGTATTAGCTTGGTGAACCCGACTGAGGAGCTTCCGATCAAGTGTTTGAAGAAAGGCCCTGTCAAAGTTCCCATAAAGATGTCAATCAACT